GAATTACAAGTTTTCATGAAAGCATTTTTATAAGATAACTTTAATGAATCTTTATAATTCTCGGCTCTTCAAGGAGTTTCCCCGTCTTGGCAGAGTCCTTTTTTCGCGGAGTTAGATTTTTCCTCGGTTATTTCCTTTGGCAAAGACTGGTCGTGGGGTGGAGATTTTTCCTCATTATTTTCTCCTGTTCGCGTCGAATTTGCTGCATCGAAGTTGATTTTTCCGGAAGTCCGTGGCCGCTTTCGGATATTTTCTTTTTTGCCAGCTATATCCGCAATTACTGGCGAGTCCCGTTTTTTGTCTTCTGATTGACCGAAGGTTTTCCGCCACTGTTGCGTGCCCGATACTTAGTGTGTGCGGCTTTCATTTTGTTGCAGTCGAAGATTCGATGACCCGATACCCTGCAAAAATCACACGTGAAGTTGGCCTATCCTATCCCGAGTGAATAAACCCTTCTAGAAAATGGAATCACCCTATGTATAGCCACGCGAGGCTATTGGCTTTAAGGGATTACGACAGGATTACGCTAGATATAGCTCTCCAGTACACCCCGAGCCTGGAGGGTGATATAATGATAATAATATGATAAACCAAAGGATGATGGAAAAGGAGGAATAGGATTCCAAATGGAATGAGATAAAGACCAAATTAATCAGAAATGGAAAGGGAATATGGAAAGGGAATATGGAAAGGAGAAAGGAATGGAACGGGTCGTACTCTCACACCCCACTTCCATTGCCCTCCTTCCCCCCCTTCCCTAGCCCTGCTTCTCCCCCTTCCATTGCCCTACTTCCCCCCCTTCCATTGCCCAAATTCTCCTCCTTCCTTTGCCCTGCTCCCCCCCCTTCCATTGCCTTGCTTCCCACGCTTTCATAGCCCTGCCTCCCCCCTTTCCATTGCCCTGCTTCCCTCCCTTCCACTGCCCTGCTTCCCCCCCTTCCAATGCCCTGCTTCGCCCCCTTCCCTAGCCCTGCTTCCCCCTCTTCTGTAGCCCTGCTTCTCCCCCTTTTGTAGCCCTCCTACAAACCCCAAAGAGAGCGTGGATCCCCCCTGACCAGGGAGAGGGCAAGGGAGAGCGGAGAACGGGTGAGGGGAACATGGGAGAGGGAAGAACGGGAAAGGGGAGTGTTGGGGAGCGGGACCATGGGAGAGGGGACCATGGGAGAGGGGAGCATGGGTGAGAGGCGGACAGGGCAAGCGCGTGGAAGGGCGGGGTACTATATGGTGTGACGCGTCGGGCTAGCGAGGGATTGGCGCTGCATAAGGGCGGGATTGGCGCTGCGTTAGGGCGGGATTGGCGCTGCGTTAGGGAGGGATTGGTGCTGCGTTAGGGCGGGATTGGCGACGTGAGGACGTGTGATGGGTTGAGAATGGGCAAAACGGGGGGGAGATTGCTTGCTGGGTGAAAGCGGGAACGCGCGAATCCGGATGAGGGTTGGGAAGCGAGAATGCATCAAAGCTGGATGGAAAATCAACGGGAAACCGGGGAAGCGGTTTGACGGGATACGGACGACAGGGGATGCGATTTTAGTATGCTGCAGCAGGTAAGGCGGGAAAGAGGGAATGAGGAAGGCGGGCATCGCTGTCACGGTGTTAGATGCGCGAAGCAGGAGTGGGTAGCGAGCTGAGCGCTATATGCAACGGGCAGTGCGTGAGTTGCTTGGCGCGCTGGCGATGATATCCCTTTTCAGGTCTTCGCGTAGCGTGCCCTGGAGTGCTTGTGTTGCGTGCTGGTGAGGGACTAGCATGCTGCGCTGGGGCGCGATTTGGTGCAGATTAGTTGTTAGTGTCATGGGAACGCGGTTTCGCTACTTCTAACGCACATTTTCCCACTGAGATAGAAGGTAAGTGTTAGAAGGCTAGCTTAGCTATGAAGCTAGGAAAGGCATGAGGTTTAGCTAGGAGGAGCCATGGAGTGGCGTGAGGTTTAGGAAGGAGAAAAGTTGAGGAGAGAAAAGAGAGCTGGAATAGAAAGAGTGAGGCATACAAGGAGGGGATTGTACCCTCTACAGTAAAGCTCGGTAACCTATCAAGCCTAACAATTATGTAACTCAATATATAATTTAACACACCCTCTAGGCTTGGTAGTCACAAGCCCACACACACCCCCACACCCCCTAGCCTAGCACCCCCATTCCAGCCACAGTGACAGCGGCACTAGCTCGGTCGACCCCTCGGCGCGTGAGGCGGCGACGTCGACCGCAGGGGCTGCGGCGGCGACGGCAGCAGCGGCGGCAGTGTCGACAGCGGCGGCGGCGGCAGCGTGCGGCTGCGTGGCCCCGACGCAAGCGGCGACAGCGGCGACGGCGACGGCTTCGACACCAGCGGTGGCGGCGGCGGCGCCCGCACCTCTCGGTGACGTGACCAGGCCCCGCGACAGTGGGACGGCCGGCGGGAGTCAGCCGTCGTCTGCGGAAAGGAAGAGGACACAGGGGAAGGAGGGGGGGGGGAGGGGGGGGGGGGCACAGGCTGGCATGCGGGCGGCCGGTCTAGCGGCGCCACAGGCGTCGCGCGGCCGGCTGCAGCCCGACGACGCTGTCACAGAGCGGCGTCGACGCCGCGGCGGGACGTCGACGCTACGACGGCAGCACGACGGCCTGACACCACGGCAGCGCGTCGAGACGGCCGCCATGGCCGCGCGAGCGAACGAGGGTGAGGAGTACGCGACGGAAGCGTGAGTAGGCGGTCCAGCAGGGAGGACCTCCTACTCTGATACCATGTTAGAAGGCTAGCTTAGCTAGGAAGCTAGGAAAGGCATGAGGTTTAGCTAGGAGGAGCCATGGAGTGGAGTGAGGTTTAGGAAGGAGAAAAGTTGAGGAGAGAAAAGGGAGTTGGAATAGAAAGAGAGAGGCATACAAGGAGGGGATTGTACCCTCTACAGTAAAGTTCGGTAACCTACCAAGCCTAATAATTATATAACTCAATATATAATTTAACAGTAAGCACTGTGTGTTAAAATTATATAAGTTATAATTTAATATAGGCTTGGTAGGTTGTTACTGAACCTTTCTGTAGAGGGTACAAACCCCTTCTTGTACTCCTCTCTCTTCCTAATCAAACGTCCTTTCTTCTCGACATTCTCTCCCTTCCTAGATCCGTTTTTCCTCACGCCATTCCATGGCGGCCTTCTTCCTAGTATTCTAGCCAACCTAGCCTCCTAAGTTTAAGAACCTTGAGTCCTAAGTTTCTAAGATGGTATCAGAGCCGGTCGTGTCCACTGGACCCTCTCCCTACGTTCCCGTTGCGTACTCCTACTGCATTCGCAGCCTTCGCGGTTTTCTGCCTGCCTGCCGTCGCGGCACTAAGTTGTCGCGACGGCCCCTTGTTGCCTGCCGTCGCGGCGCCAGGATGTCGCGACGGCCCCTTGTTGCCTGCCGTCGCGGCACTTAGATGTCGCGACGGTCCCTCGTTGCCTAACGTCGCGGCGCCAAGGTGTCGCGACGGCCCCTTGGTGCAGCCGTCGCCCGTCCGCCTCGCCGCTGCGACATTGACGGTGCGCTGTGGCGGCGTCTGCGGCAGCCGACGGCATCGTCGGGCTGCGGCCGGCCGAGCGACGTCTGTGGCGTCGCCGGGCCTGCCGCCCGCTCGCCACAGACGGGCGTCCCTCAGGACGACGTCCTCCCGCCGGTAAGCGCCGCGCCATTTATGGCGCGTCGCTGAAGACTCGCCTCGCCCCGCCCCCTCCCCTCCCCCCCCCACCTGCACCTGCTTCCCCTGCATCCCCCCCTTTCTTGCTGCAGCCGATGACTGCCATGTGAGGGACCTCTCCACCGCCGAGGAGACAGGACATGCCGCCGAGAGGGGGGGGGGCCGCCGCACCAGCCTCTGTCGTTCGAGCCCCCGGCGCTGCCGCTGTTGCCGCAGGCCTGGAGCCGCCGCACACCGCCGCCGCCGCCGCTGTCGTCACTGTCGCTGCTGCCGCCATTGCCGTCTCAAGGGGCCGTGAGACCTACCCTCTTCCGGAGTCGTTTCGGCTCCTGCTGGGAATGGGGGTGCTGGGCTAGGGGGTGTGGGTGTGAGTGTGGGTGTGGGGGTGTGCGTGGGCTTGACACTACCAAGCCTAGGGGGTGTGTTAAAATTATATAAGTTATAATTTAATATAGGCTTGGTAGGTTGTTACTGAACCTTTCTGTAGAGGGTACAAACCCCTTCTTGTACTCCTCTCTCTTCCTAATCAAACGTCCTTTCTTCTCGACATTCTCTCCCTTCCTAGATCCGTTTTTCCTCACGCCATTCCATGGCGGCCTTCTTCCTAGTATTCTAGCCAACCTAGCCTCCTAAGTTTAAGAACCTTGAGTCATAAGTTTCTAAGACTGTGTTCGCGCGAGCCAGAATGGCAGGGAAGAAGCCATTGCCACTGAGTACAGATTAAAAAGCAAAAGCTTTGGATCTTGGTGTGGCGGGTGGAAAGGCTTTGCATGTTCCGTCGCTGGGTTGGGGCGGGCATCGCATAGCACGTCACTTCCCCCCTGGATCTCAAATACGCACCTCACGGGTGGGTATTTGGTTACCGTGTTTCTGTCGCGCCCTTTTTCGTATGTAGTACAACTCAAAACCTTTGAGTCTTGAGTTTGGTCTGTCCGCTCACTTTAAAGTAAAGCTTACAATAGTCAATTTGTTTCTTAATAATATGTTGACTTTATGCATCATTAGTATTTAACCAATTAGTAGTTGGTGCGTGTTCTACGGGTTTTGGCCACAACGTCTATGTCAGTACGGCTTTCGCTATTGTCCATATAACGGTGGGATCTCGGTGACTCCACCGTGACCTACGCGCCCACAACGAAGGAGCCCTGTCAGCGCATGAACGGTGCAACAAACCAGATTCGCGCGGGGGAAACCCAGTCGTTGCGCGTCAGACGACCTCCACCGTGCGAAAAGGTTTGTCCAACCCGATGCGACAGATGACGAAGTCTGGCAGGAGGCGTGCGACGTGCCTTTGCCGGGGAAAGTCTCTCCTAGAGAACGCCGTGCGAAAACAGGTTGGTAGAAAAAAGGTGTTCAACCCACATCGAGCCATTCGGCTTCCAGAACCAAAAAGGCCACCAATAGCTCTTTCTCATCAGTTGGTCTGTCGTTAGGCATCAGATTGCTCCAGCTCTTCTGCTTATTTTGACAGTCTAGTTCTCGTGTGTTTCCTAAGAGCAGTTCACCATGGGTTTGACAATCGGGAAGCTCTTCACGAGATTCTTTGGGAAAAGGGACATGCGTATTCTTATGGTTGGTCTAGATGCCGCTGGTAAAACGACCATTCTGTACAAGCTGAAGCTGGGAGAGATCGTGACCACGATTCCGACCATCGGTATGAATCTCGTCCTTCGTCGATCTGCACTGCCAGGCTCTCTTCAAACGTCGATGAGTTTTAAAGCGACCCTCTTTGCATTCCGATTCAGGATTCAACGTCGAAACTGTGGAGTACAAGAACATTAGCTTCACCGTGTGGGATGTCGGGGGTCAGGACAAGGTAAGAAAAGTATACTGTAATTTAGTTACCATCTTTTATGCTGTGTCGTAACTTCACTAATTTCTGCGAGTCTCCTGGTACAGATCCGTCCCCTGTGGAGGCATTACTTCCAGAATACACAAGGTTTGATCTTCGTCGTCGACAGCAACGATAGGGATCGTGTGATGGAAGCCAGAGATGAATTGCACAGAATGCTCAACGAGGTGAGCAATCATCCTGTCAATTATTCGGGATGCTGCGACATTGTTAGGTATTTTGGGGCTGTGCTTCTTACACGTCCCCGCTTCTTATTGCAGGACGAATTGCGAGATGCAGTGCTGCTTGTGTTTGCTAACAAGCAGGATCTTCCAAACGCGATGAACGCTGCAGAGATTACCGATAAGCTTGGTCTTCATTCGTTGCGCCAGCGTCAGTGGTAAGTGAATAATGAAGAAGCATGCTAAATGAACACGTAGTCTTGGCTACAAATTTCATTTGCAGATCCACGGAGCGGAAGTTCTATCGTGAAGTTGACATCCCCGATTTCTTTCATTTCAGGTACATCCAGAGTACTTGCGCTACCTCAGGAGAAGGTCTTTATGAGGGTCTCGACTGGCTGTCCAACAACATCTCCTCTAAGGTATGTCCCCTTGCTGCATCCATGTTTGACGGTTTGACATCCTGAGACATAACAATGGGCATCGTTTTTGTCTGCAGGACTAAGCATTGAGAGCCATAACATGGCTTGCGAGGAAGGACATCACTATCTAAGCACCCTGGACACTTCACTTGACAAGTTTTCAGCGCTAAACCAAGAAAAAGCCACAAGATGCTACTCCAAGTCTTCTCTCAGTGCCAATTTATCTTTTGTATCCCCTTCTTTCTAGCAACATTGTGAAATTCTTTTTAGTTGATTATGCACATTGACAGTCTGCTATGTTGTCTCACTGTTAGCAATCAGGCTGAATTATGCAATACAACATGTATGTCCCGAATGGAAAATCTAGTTGCAAGCAAATGCAAGCAAATTTGTTAATGGGGTAGGTAAAATTCCTGTACCTAAAAATGGGTCCTGTACTTGATGTGGTTACAAGCCAATGCCCCACTGCTTTGTGTACTTGAGTACTCTACCAGTTTAGTCCCATCAGCAAGTGCTGGAGGTGGAAATGCAATATCGCACTTGATTTCTTCTGTGCCTCGTTACCTGACTTGGTGCAGCCCCTATTTTCGCCGTCAGCCGTCGCAGCGCATTCTCTTCGTTTCCTTTTGTCGCTCAGTACGTCCACATTTTTGTAGAATCCGTGTTCTGTTTGACAGAAAGGCTTTAGAGTTCGGGTTTCGCGTTTCAGCGAACGAAACGGTGTCCGTAAGATATTTGCGCTGTTCTTTGAGATCTTGGCGGGATAACTCACAGCGAGCTCTACTCCACGGGATCCCGTTGTCCGTGAATAGATTCAACACCGTGAGAACGTGTGCTGCTGAGGGCCGTTTGGAGCACGTGCCGTTTGAGTAGCGATGCTCTGAAGAAAGGCGCCAATCGAGGCACTTACTGACGCAGGTTGCTCTGAAGAACTAGCGGAGCGATCGCCAAGTCTGCTTCAGCCAATCAACGGCTTCCGCCTGCTCTTACGTCGACCCAAAGCGATCGCGAAGGCTACTTCCACCGCCATTTGCCGGCTTGAACCGTTTCGGATCCCGGAGGTTGTCGCTCCCCGCCAGTCATGTTCCGTCATAAGCCAGCGCCGTGTTGTGGCCGGCGCTATGCTCTGTGGTCGCTATGCGCGGCTGTGCTTATAGCGGGGGCTGCACTGAGAGTGGATGCGAGGGCTGATGCTGTTATGGTGGGCTGCAGCGGGTTTGTGAAGGTGAGCGAAATGCTGTTGTCGCACATCCCATGGTGCAGTGTTGCATGCCATCGTGTTACTTCACATGCCATTGTGTCCGATGCCATTGTGTCACATGCCGTTGTGTCACATGCTATTGTGCCATAAAACATGCACTGAAGTTCGACGCGAGGGCTGAGGCTCTCATGGTGGGCTGCAGCGGATTTGTCAAGGTAAGGCGAATGCGATGGTGTGTGAAACATGCCATGTCGTCGTCACCAAGTTTCAGGACTAATGATGGCGCTGCTATGATGACCGCGTTCTGGAACCTTGCCAGGCTCTTATCAGGTCCTTATCAGGTTATTATCAGGCTCTTGTTGGGTTCTTATCAGGTTCTTATCACGTTAAAAAACCACTAGGGACCAAAAGACATGCGATAAATTTCAAAGAACTCTAGAAAACCGTTCACGAGGCCAAGAACTGACCTGTGGATAGACATGCAGTGGCTCTCGGAATGCAAGCCCACATGCCTTTGTGCCTTCTGGATAATGTTGCTTGCGTGATTGTGCGCGTGTGACTATGGTGCAGCCAAGTGCTCATCTGACATCTCTGCTGGAGCAAGGGAGCAACTCAGAACCCATTGACTACACTCGTGTCATGGTAAGTGTGCATGTGTGCATGCGTGGAAGTGTGGATTGCTATTATTTTGGGACTCTCTGTGTCATGGACCATGGTAGTGATTGCATGTGCATGTGGGGCATGTTGTTGGGCATATTGAGATGTTTACTGTGTCCATACATGTGCTTTTGAGTCGACTAAAAACATGCATGCGTATGTGTTTGTGGCATCTTGATGGAAGTTTAGGAAAAAAAGAACTAAAAGAAAACTGAATTGATATGCATTTGTTATTTCTCTGTGGTGTACAGGTGGAGCTACAGTCCCATGACGGTTTCGTCCATGAGAGGACAAACTGTGACGAGGATGGCTACTACTACCTCATGGCCCCTTCTCTGCAGGTAATATCTCCTACTGGCTCTGGTAGGTGATGCCTCCCCCAGATGGCCCTCTCTCATAAGTCTAGGGAGACAGGAGATGGGATAATGCTGCCGTGAGTGCAGCTGCAGGCGACGGGATAATACCGTCCCGTCCCGTCCTGTCCCGTCTCCTTACCCGGTCCCGTCTACCTATGCTGCCGTTTGACCCACCCACACCGTCTCCGTCCGCTCCCTCCTGCTCCCTCCTTCTGCTCCCTCCTTCTGCTCCCTCCAAACCCGCCTTCTGTGTCTCCCGCTCGCTTCCTTCCCTCCTCCATTCCTTCATCCCCTGCTCGCTGCTTGAGCCTCTCCAATGTCCCCATCCTTTTAGGAGCCCTTTTCTCCCCTCTTTCCTTCAATCCTCTTCTCCCTCCCTCTCCCTTCCCCTCCCCCCAACCCCCCCCCACCCCCCCCCACCCCCCCTTCTGATCTCCTCGTTTTCCTTCAGGATTCTTTTCTTATCACCCTTCGAGGCCCTCCTGGTTGGTCCTTCGACGCAACCAAGGTGATTTCTTTTGCCACAGTTTCGATGCTTGTCCTTTGAGACGCCATGCGTTTGAGGCGGCCCAAAAGCTGGCTCGTTTCCTCAAGCGCGCTTACGTTTCAGGCGCCCCGAGAGGTGCAGACATGGCAAACAATGGGCCACTTCATTGTTTGCCATGTCTGCACTCCTGCTGCTCATGGGCATGCCATGTCTCCACTACTGCTGCTCATGGGCATGCCATGCCATACCATGCCTATCCCCCCATTCCCTCAATTCCCGCTGTGACTTCTGACCATCCCTTTTCATCCCTCGCCTTGTTTTCCCCCACCCTCGCTAATGATTGCGTGCACCCACCTTTCTTCAACTATTGTATGCAGATGGTAGTGGTCGATGCTGCCACCTGCAATGCTGGCAATGACGTGGACTTCCACATCTATGGGTGGGTTTGCGGCTGCTGTTTCATGTGAGCAGTCTATCTTTTCACGTGAGCAAGCTTTTAAGCCGACTCAAAATGCATTGCATGGCTGTGCTATTATGTGGCAGGTTCGGCCTCTCAGGCCGCATACTCAGCCACTCGCCATCAGCAACAGAATCGGGATCAGGCTCAGCACAGGGAGCAGTGAAATCACCCGAAGCACCCCTGATAGGGCCTGCTGGTATCCTCGTGACCATACGGTCAGTCAGCAATAACACAGACAGCAGCAGGAGCGGCAGTGGCAGTGCAGAGGAGGAGGGAGTGTCGCAGCAGCAGCAGCAGCAGCAGCAGCAGCAGTTGAGTGCGACGGCTGTTACAGACGCCAGTGGGGCTTTCAGCTTCACTGGCCTCCCTGTGGGTGAGTGCGTGCGTGCTGGGACATGGGGTGTGCTTTCAATGCAGGGAGGACGGGGTGTGTGTTGAGTGCGGGGAGGAAGGGTAGTGTTTCCACAGCTGCAAGAGCAGCAGTTGAGTGCGACGGCAGCAGACGCCAGTGGGGCTTTCAACTTCATCGGCCTCCCTGTGGGTGAGTGCATGCTGGAGGGTGGGGCTCGTTTGAGAGCAGGGAGAGGGGTGGGGCTCGTTTGAGAGTAGGGAGAGGGGTGGGGCTCGTTTGAGAGCAGGGAGAGGGGTGGGGCTCTTTTGAGAGCAGGGAGAGGGGTGGGGCTCGTTTGAGAGCAGGGAGAGGGGTGGGGCCCGTTCGAGAGCAGGGTGAAGGGTGGGGCCCGTTTGGGAGCAGGCAGAAGGGGTTGGGTCTCTGCAGCAGCACTCACAACAGCACAGCAAAGGCTGTCACACCCTCACAACAGCCAGGGACCACAGCACGCTACTGGGGCTTTCACCCTCACTGACCTCCCTGTGGATGAGTGCATGCTGGGAGGAGGGGGTCTAGAGAGCAGGGGGAGAAGGAAACATAGCCCACAGCGGCACATTGCCTAAGAGCTGGGAGGAAGGAGTGGCAGAAGGAGGCCGTCTCTCTCTAGTTTTCTCAGTGTGTTATCTTGTTTGTGTCTCCTCAATGTGTGTTTCGCTATTTCCCCTGCCGCTCTGTGTCTCTTATCCCTGCGTGCTACAGGAGCGTATGAGCTGTCTGCCACCCACCCACTCTGGTCAATCCGCCCCGTTACAAGCACTCTCGACACAAGCACAAGCATCCCTGTGGAGGTTGGGTGGGACAGCAAGGACCTTGGAGCAGCGTTTTACGTGGGGAGCTATGATGCTTCGGATGCTCAGGTACGGTTGGCCCGCAGATACTCAGACGGTCAGGTCGGGCTTCATAGCATGGTCACCTCAACATGCGTGGAGTGGGGGATGGGTGGGACAGCAAGAGCGTAGGAGCAGTGCGCCATGTGGCCAGTTGTGTGGGACGGCACGGACCTTAGAGCAGTGCTCCATGTGCCCAGCTATGCTGCTTCAGATGCTCATGTAGTAGGGCTTCACAGCATGGCCACCTCAACATGCGTGGAGTGGGGGATGGGTGGGACAGCGAGGACCTAGGCCCGAGGGGCAGTGCTTCATGTGGTCAGTTACGCGCTCAAGCTGCAAAGGTACGCTCATGCTGTCTTTCCTGACCCCTTCTTTCCCCCTCCCTCCCCCCCAAACTCCCCCACTCCTCTCTCTCCGTGGAGTGGAATACGGGGCAGGGCCGTGAACTCTATGCACCTCGCGCTCGTTGGCTTTTAAGTCGACTCAAAAGCCGTGAACTCTATGCACCTCGCGCTCGTTGGCTTTTGAGTCGACTCAAAAGCCGTGAACTCTATGCACCTCGCGCTTGTCGGCTTTTGATTCGACTCAAAAGCCGTGAACTTTATGCACCTCGCGCTCGTCGTTGCAGCCCTCAACCCTCCCTCTCTTTTTCCCGCGTCACGAGTCTATGCTTGAGCCGCCTCACAAATGGGCTGTCTATTTTTTAGGCCCTTAAAGAATGGGCCGTGAACTCTAAACCCTCTATGGCCCTCAACTCCCCCTCTCCCTTTCCCTCCCCCTCCCTGACCCATCCTTCCCCTCTCCTTCAGAACCAGCCTGGCGTTGCTGTGGTGGCAGGCAGGGGCAGAGTGGAGGATGGGGTGGGCCGTGGAGTGGAGGGAGCGACAGTGATGGTGGATGGGCTCTCAGTGGCTGTTACTGATGCCAAGGTGAGTTCTATGCTACCAAGGGTGTTGTGCTGCAGTGAGTGGAAAGGGGTGTGAGGGGGCGTGGGCTGGCAGGAGCAACAGTGATGGTGGCCGGGCTCTCGGTGGCTGTTACTGATGCTATGGCGAGTTCCATGCTACCAGGGGTGTTGTGCTGCAGTGAGTGGAAGGAGGCGTAGGGGGGGGAGGGAGGGGAGGGGGGGGAGAGGGGGCGTGGGTTGGAGGGAGCAACAGTGATGGTGGATGGGCTCTCAGTGGCTGTTACTGATGCTATGGTGACGATGTGTGAGGAGTCTATTTTTGAGGCGCCTCAAAAATTGGCTCTCAGTGGCTGCTCCTGATGCTATGGTGACGAAGGGTACAGTGCGTCCGTGAGTGTGAGTAATGCTACAGTAATTATCACAAGCGCTTCATCGAGTCTTGTAAATGCTTCAGTGAGTGTTACAAAGGGTACAGTGAGTGTTATTAATGCTTTTGGTGACTGGAGGAAGGAGACTGTAGTCCGTTCACTTCTGAACCCTGCGCTGCACCCTCCACTGCTCACACCACCACCCTTCCAGCCCCCTCCTCTGCCTCACCCCTCTTCGTTCTCCCCAGGGTGCCCACTCCTTCACATTCCCCACCTCCCTCCTCTCCTCCCCACCCCTCCACCAGGGTGCCTACTCCTTCGCACTCCCCACCTCTCTCTCTCCAACCTGTTTAAGCCGCCTCTTGTTTGCCTTCTTTTTCTCCTCACCTCCCATGCTTGTCTCACCCGTTCCCTCCCCTCCTGAACCCTCTTCCGTCTTCGTCTCTGCAGGGCGCCTATTCCTTCACTCTCCCCACTGCCCTCCTCTCATCTCCACCCCTCCAACATCCCTCCTCTACACCCGCCCCTCCACCTCCTCCTCCCCCCCCCAACCACCACACTCTATCAGCAGTCCGACCCCTCTACTCCTTCTCCTCCCTTCCTAACATCGCCCTCCCTCCTGCTACCACCACCACTGCTGCTGCTGCTGCTGCTGCTGCTAATGCTCCTGCTGCTGCTGGTGGTGCTAGTGCCACAACTGCCGTTGACTTGCCGCCCATCCGAGCCGCCCGGTACGCTCTGTGCGGGCGGGTGGAGATGGGCGGCGACTCGTCCTTTGTGCCGTGGAGACGCATGGAGTTGAGCAGGGCTTCTGAGGCTGGGGGATCTCAGGAATGGAGTGCAGAGACAGAGGACGCAGGGACAGAGGACGCAGGGACAGAGGACGCAGGGACAGAGGACGCAGGGACAGAGGACGCAGGGACAGAGGACGCAGGGACCAAGGACGGAACCCTGCTAAGCCGGACTAAGGCAACAGGGGGTGCCAAAAGGTCCAACACTGGCAAAAGCAGCAGCAGCAGCGAGTTCCAGAAAGCAAGGAAGCGTGCTCCTCCAGTGATTGCCGAGGCAGACCAAGACGGACGGTTCTGCTTCATGGTGGGTGGGTTGCTGCAAAGGTGAGTGAGTGTAGAGTGAGCGTGTGAGTGTGGAGTGAGTGTGGAGTGAGTGTGGAGTGAGTGTCTATGTTGGAAAAAACGCAGATTTGGTTTTGCGTTTTGCGTTTATACGCGAGTAAAATTCGTATGCTGCGTTCTGGGTGGAGATTCGCCGAAAAACGCACAGGCTGACCACGGGAAAAAAGTTTTCCCACAACAGGTCGCGACTAGGCCAAAAAAAAAGGGGTTTCGCGCATCGCCAATTCAACTGCGCGGAATTGGGGGTTGACGACAAAAGCGGCACATCGCAAACTCGAATTGAGTTTGTGGCTTGAACTCCCAACCCCAAAAGGCTTCCCCACCGCATTCAATCTCTCCATACTTTTCCAACCCAACCGATTGTGGTTTGAACTCCAATCCCAAAAAGCTTCCCCACCGCATTCAATCTCACATCACCTCCCTTTCCCAACCTTTCTGCTTTATGACGATTGACGACTCACCAGAGTCCTGACGCAGAGGAGCAGCACCTAACCTAATTCCGCGTTGTAACTCTCTAGCAAAGCTCCCTCCCTTAGTTCTCGCGCCATTGTTGCTCGCCAGGAGAAATGTTGACCCGTTCCTACCACTCCTCCTAGCGCGACAAATTTTCCTGCCCGCAATATTTTTTCCCCTGCCCGAACCTCCGTATTTCGTGCGTACCGCATACCCCCTTTCCAAGCGTATTGCGTATAAACGCTTACGTATATACGCTGGCGTACAAAACGCAATACGCACATTTTCCAACATAGGTGAGTGTGGAGTGAGTGTGGAGTGAGTGTGGAGTGAGTGATGGTATCAAGAATGTGGCCCCGGTGACTGCAGAGCAGAGGCAGACCAAGATGGACGGTTCTGCTTCATGGTGGGTGGGTTGCTGCAAAGGTGAGTGAGTGTAGCAACCCACCCACCATGAAGGTTGCTTCATGGTGTAGCATGAGCTGGGCTCTTATCACGTGATTCTGCTTCATGGTGTAGCATGAGCTGGGCTCTTATCACGTGATCGCTTCATGGTGTAGCATGAGCTGGGCTCTTATCACGTGATTCTGCTTCATGAGCCGCTGTAGATTGCAGATTCAGGGAGCACCTCCAAACTCTTGTTTTTTTCTGTGAGCATGTGCGCGTGTGACTCTAAATGTGTGCCACTTGTTTTGTGAGCAAATCTGTAATCACATTCATTCATAAGCACATCTATGGCAACTAGAATTGAGAAGGGTAGACGGTTTCTGGTTACTCATTTGTAGCCGCCTTCGAGCTTCCTCAAGTCTCACCCTCTCACTCAACATCCCACCCTCTCCTATTCTTCTCGTCTTCTCCCAGGTGCCACGTGGCAGCTATCAACTGGTGCCTGAGATCAGCCCAGATGAGGTGGCAGCAGGACTGGTCTTCTCCCCCTCTATAATGGAATCCGTTACTGTCACATCCTCACCAGTCACAGATATAGTCTTCAAACAGGCAAGTTACTTGCCGACTGACTCAACAGTTCCTCTCTTAGAACTATGTCCATGTCTACGTCTGAAGACATTGTCTATGTCTGAAGACATTGTCTGTCTGAAGAAATTGTCTGTATCTGAAGAAATTGTCTGTGTCTGAAGAAATTGTCTATGTCTGAAGACATTGTCTATGTCTGAAGACATTGTCCGGCTACCGCCCTCCCTTTTTAGCTGCCTGCGTTTTGTCTATGTGGTCTGGTAGCGCTTTTGTGATTCTTTTCTTTCCGTAGCTTGTTCACAATACGTTTTACGTGATTTGTGTCCCTTTTTGTTAGGCGCCTCAAAAATATCATGCTTTGTGGTCTGGCAGGGCTTTCGTGATGGTTTTCTTCCCGTAGCTTCTTGTTTTCACTACCTCTTGTGTGAATTATGTCCCTTTTGAGTCGACTCAAAAGCCAGTTTGTTCTTTTCACTACCTTTTACGTGATTTTCGTCCCTTTTTGTTTCCCTTTCTCTCGTCCACAACCCCCCTCCCCCCCCCCTCTCATACAGTCACACCTGTTTATATCTGGCAAGGTGCGCTGCCTCCAGCAGTGTGACTCAGCCGTTACAGTCACACTCCTGGCTGTCACAGATACAATGACCGACGGAGAAATGGAGGGAGGTACAGAGCAGCAGCAGCAGCAGCAGGGGCAGCACAGGGGCACGTTCTTACAACGAGTTGTGCTGAGAGTGGGGGGAGAGGGGGGGGCGGAGGGAGAGGCTGGGGGCGTCGGGGGGAAGGGCAAGGGGAGGAAAGGCGAGGTGATGACGAGAGGCACAAGTGGCTCCTTCTTCTTCGATCAGCTGCTCCCTGGGTCGTACAGACTCGAGGTCAGTGTTCCAATCTGCATGCATCTACAGATGGTCTCGTGACTTGAAAGCTGAGCCGGTCCTCACCTGGAGAGGCACAATCGGTTCCTTCTTCTCTGATCGGGTGCTCTATGGGTCGTACAGACTCGAGGTGAGTGCTCCATCGGTTGGAAGGTTGTCTGTAGCAAGATGGTGGTGATTCGAGCACTTGCATCAACGTTCCCTTTTCTGGGAGCAGAGTTCAGCCCAACATGCACATTAGGATCCTTATTCTTTGGCTGGCTGCCCCCTCGGCCATACAGAATCCAGGTGAGTGCTTCTTCATCGCAGGTCTGTCTGCAGCAGGACGAGTGGTGCTGGGAAGAATGGCATCAACATGCTCTGTCTTCTGCCCCCCCACTAGGCATGAGCATTGGCCCGGCCCGGCCCGGCCCGTTTCTGGTCGGGCCGCCGGACCTCGACCCGGGCCAGGCGGCGGGCCGACCTTGGGTACTTCCTGGCCCGTGCCCGGGTTTAGGGGTCGGGCTGGCCTTGGCCCGAGGGGCAAAATACGGGCTGGGGGCGGGCCGCGCCATGCTCATGCCTACCCCCCACCCCCTCCTCCCATTTCTCTCCTCTCCGCCCTCTCCTCTCCGCCCTCTCCTCTCCTCCCTCTCGTCTCCGCCCTCTCCTCTCCTCCCTCTCCTCTTCTTCTGGCTTTCTCCAATCACAGCCCCGCAAATCGCACGCCGATGCCTGCGACTGGCAGCAGGACGAGGGGTGATGGGATGGTGCGCATAAAGAGGCTATCATTCTCTTCTCTTCCTCTCCCCCTTGTATCTCTTCCTCTCCCCCTTGTATCTCTTCCTCTCCCCCTTGTATCTCTTCCTCTCTCCTCTCCCTCTTTTTCTCTCTTACTCTCCCCCTTTTTTTCTCTCCTCTCCCCCTTTTTCTCTCTCCTCTCCCTCTTTCCCTCTTTTCTCTCCTCTCCCCCCCCCCCGCAACAGGCCCGCAAAACGCCCGTCGATGCCAGCGACCTGCAGCTGGACGAGTGGTGCTGGGAGGAGGGCAGTGCTGACGTGGCAGTGTACGATTCCCCTGTGACGAACGTACAGCTGGTGCAGAGGGGGTGGCGCATGGTGGTGCGGGCATCAATGGAGGACAGATTCACCTTGATTCACAGCAGCTACGACCCCACTGACTTCTCTGTTTCAGTAAGCTGCTGAGGGGTTAATGGTTCAGGGTTCAGGGGTGGCGCGGGCATCGATGGAGGACAGATTCACCTTGATTAACGGCAGCTACGACCCCACTGACTCCTCTGTTTCGGTAAGCCCTTGGCAGCTTTGAGGCCCCTTGTGGCGCCTCAACCTGTTTGGCGCAGAGGGGATGGCGCATGGTGGTGGAGGCGGCAATGGAGAATAGGTTCAAGCTGATTCATGGGGCATATGTCCCCATTGACTTCTCTGTGTTGGTAAGCTGCTGAGGGGTTAATGGTTCAGGGTTCAGGGGTGGTGTGGGCGGCAATGGGAGATAAATTCACCTTGATTCACGGGGCATACGACCCCACCGAGCTCTTTGTCTCGGTAGGTTTGGATCTCCATCCGGATTAACCCTCTGTATGTGAGGGCTTCAGTGGGTGTTGTCTGGGGTGGTGCATGGTGGTGCATGGTGGTGCATGGTGGTGCATGGTGGTGCAGGCATTGACTGATTTCCGAGGCATATGGCCCTGCTGACTCCTCGGTCTCGGTAAATTCAGGGGCATATGACTCCACCGACTTGTTGGTCTTGGGAAGCTGCAGAGGGGTTAGGGATTCAGGGTTCAGGGGTGGGGCGGTCATGGGGACTATGATCCCACTGACTCCTCTGTATTGGTAAGCTGCGGAGGGGTTGAGGGTTGAGGGTTCAGGGTTCATGGGAGGTGCGACAAAGGTTTTGTTGCATTCCCTCCCCTCTTTCCCCTTGCCTCTCGTCTCCCCCCTTCGTGTCAAGTCGCCAGGGGAGTACACCCACCCACCCTGGGTTGCATGCATCTTCCCACTTGAACCCTTTATCTTGTCACCCTCCTTCCGACCCTCCCCCTCCGACCCTCCCTCTGACCCTCCCCCTCCGACCCTCCCTCTGACCCTCCCCCTCCAACCCTCCCTCTGACCCTGCTCTCTCCTTCCGTTCCCCCCCTTGCAGCCCGGAGTGCAGGAGTTCTGCGTGGAGTCCCCAGGGGAATACACCCTCGTCATGTCACATGCATGTGCCTACTACGGGGCCCTCTCCCTCGCCTTCCACACCAACCAGCCGAAGGTACTCCCTTCCCCAGGTAATACCGTTGTCATACAACCTCAGGTACACACAACCTCCCTGTCATGCTGTCACATGCTTGTGCCTACTATGGGGCGCTCGCTCTCCCCTTCCACACCCACCAACCAAAGGTATGCACTGCCTCGGGTATTACCCATGAACCCACTCAATTCCCCTCGTCGTGTTATCGCTTGCTTGTGCCTACTACGGGGCCCTCTCCCTCTCCTTCCACACGAACCAGCTAAAGGTACTCCCTTCCCCAGGTAATACCGTTCTCATACAACCCCAGGTACACACAACACCCCTGTCATGCTGTCACATGCCTGTGACTACTATGGGGCGCCCTCCCTCTCCTTCCACACACCCATCAACTGAAGGTACACGCACGCACGCATCAACCGAAGGTATGCACTGCATCTGGTATTACCCGTGTGCCCTGTCAAGTCCCCTCGTCATGTTGTCACATGCCACCAGTCCCTACTATGGTCCGCTCCCTCTCCTTCTGCACCCACCAACAAAAGGTGTACTCTGCCTCGGGTATTACCGGTGTACCCACTCAATTCCCCTTGTCACGTTATCGCATGCCTACCCCTACTATGGCCGCCCTCCCTCTCCTTCTGCACCCACCAACAAAAGGTATACTCTGCTAGTTTTTCCACTCAGTTTCCATCATCATGTCGCATGCTTGTGCCCACTATGGGCCCTCTCCCTCTCCTTCCACCCCTTCCAACCGAAGGTATACACTGCCCCAGAAGCTCCCTTCCCCAAGTGTAACCCGTGTGCCTACACATCCCCCCCTTCTACTGTTCCCCTCCTGGCATGTCGCATGCTTGTGCCGTTTTGAGACGTCTCAACACCCTGCACAATCCTGCTGAATCCTGTTTCCTACAGAGTATCTGGCCCAGTCTTCCTCAACGCCTCCCTCCTCCTTCCTCCCTCTTCCCGTGTTGCCACTTCCCCGCCTCTTCTGCTGCAGCCCGTACTGCTGACTCCCACAGCGTATCGTGTATCGGGCCTAGTCTTCCTCAACACCTCCCTCCTCTCTCCCTCTCTCTCCCTCCTCTCGCTGGAAGCAAGCACCTCTGCTCGAAGCTATCCTGCCAGCAGTAGCAGCAGCAGCAGCAGCAGCAGCAGCAGCAGTGTTACCAGCAGCAGCATCGAAAGCCAGAGAATGGCCGATGGCTCTCTCGGTTCAGTGGGGTCCGAGGGGGGTGGCTCTCTGGTTCTGCGTCGGCCTGCTTCCAAGGAAGATCCCGTTGCGGTGTATGAGCAGGTGAGCAGCAGAAGAATAGAAACCCGCCTTTTGAGACGCCTCAAAAAGAGATTCGGCCGCCTCACATGTCAGCAGCTCTCCGGATGTACTGGGGCTACATGGTGGCACTCTGGTGCTGCATTGGCCTGCTTCTTCCAAGGAAGATATTTTTGAGGCGCCTCAAAATTAGTCAGCAGCTGTCGAGATGTACTGGGGCTAGGTGATGGGACTCTGGTGTTGCGTCAGTCTGCTACAAAGGAGGATCTGGTGGCTGTGTACGAGCAGGTGAGCTTTTAGAGAAACCCGCCTTTGAGGCGCCTCAGAAAGTGATTTAGGCATCTCAAAACTCAGCAGCTCTCTGGGTTCACTGGGGTTAGTTGCCGGCACTCTGGTGCTGCGTCGGCCCGCATCGAAGGAGCATCCTGTGGTTGTGTGCGAGTAGGTGAGCTCTTGGTGAAACCTACCGTTGAGGCGCCTAAGAAAGGGATTCAAGCGCCTCAAACCTCAGCAGCTCTCTGGGTACATTGGGGCTAGGTGCCGGCACTCTGATGCTGCGTTGCTCATGGTTTGAGGCACCTCCAAACTTCCCTGTGCGTGTCATCCCCCCTCATCACCCCCTAACTAATCTGGCTCCCTGGCACAAATCTCCGGCCCTGCTTACCGCTTCTCTCTCTAAACTTCCTCCAAATCCTCCTCACCCTTTCAACCACACACCACCATTGCAGTCATGCTGGCTTGATCCCAGCACGGACCTCCTCCTCTCCCGACACCACGCCGATGTCCCATCTGTCACCCACTCCTTTCGTTTCCCCCTCCCGTTGCACCCACACACCACCGTCGCAGTCATACTGGGTTGACCCCAACACGGACCTCCTCCTCTCCCTGCACCACTCGGTCCCCCGCTCTAACTCTCACTCCCTTCGCTTCCCCTCCCCATGGCACCCCCACACCATCATCGCAGTCATACTGGCTTGATTTCATCCCAACAGGGGCCTCCTCCTCTCCCTCCACCACTCCGCCTTCCCCTCTATCTCACATCCCTATCATCCTTCCCTCTCGTTCTTCCCTCATGTTCTTCCCTCTCGTTCTTCCCTCTCGTTCTTCCCTCACTTTCTTCCCTCCTGCTCCACCCCACACCATCATGGCAGTCGTTCTGGCTTGAGCCCAACACGGACCTCCTCCTCTCCCTGCACCACTCTGGCTTCCCTGCAACATATCCTCTTCCCGCTGGCGCTGCTGCTGGTGGGGTGAAGAATGCGGGTGACGAGGGAATGGCAGGCTCAGGGGAGGTAGATCTAGGGGAGGTAATTCCAGGGGAGATCAATCTAGGAGAGGGGTGGGAGCAGCAAGAGCAGGGGAAGCAAGAGGAGCGCAATATGAAGCTGGAAGCAAGGGATTCGTCCATAGAGTAAGTATTGATCTTCTGCCTCTCTTTTTATCATTACGACTGTCCCTTTGCCTCCCTCACTGTACCTCCACCCTCGAACCGTATCCACTGTTGCTCGAACCGCATCCATTGTTGTTCGAACCGCATCCACTGTTGCTTGAACCGCATCCACTGTTGCTCGAACCGTATCCACTGTTGCTCGAACCACATCCAGTGTTGCTCGAACCGCATCCACTGTTGCTCGAACCGCATCCATTGTTGCTCGAACCGCATCCATTGTTGCTCGAACCGCATCCACTGTTGCGCGAACTGCATCCACTGTTTCTCGAACCGCATCCACTGTTGCTCGAACCGTATCCACTGTTGCTCGAACCGCATCCACTGTTGCTCGAACAGCATCCATTGTTGCTCGAACCGCATCCACTGTTGCTAGAACCGCATCCACTGTTTCTCGAACCGCATCCACTGTTTCTCGAACCGTATCCACTGTTGCTCGAACCGCATCCACTGTTGCTCGAACCGCATCCACTGTTTCTCGTCTGTATGCCCCAACTATCGAACCTTCAGCAGCTCTCCTCAGTGTCCCTTTAAAGGGGAACTACCCTCTTCTCTGTCTCCCTCAGTGTCCCTTCAAGGGGCGCCCACCCTCTCGCACCAATGCCCTCTTTTGAGTCGACTCAAAAGTCAGCTCTGCCCGCCCTCCACCCTCGTACCGTATCCACTGTTTCTCGTCTGTATGCCCACAATCCACATTGATCAATCATCAAACCCTCAGCAGCTCTCCTTGGTATCCTTAAGGAGCTCCCACCCTCCTCATTCTTCTCTCCTCTCCACCTTCTCACTCTCGTGCCTCACCTTGCACCAGCTATCCACTGGGCGAGTCAGAGATCCCGCAGGAGCAGCCTACCCCAGATGGCACCTTCCCCTTCCCACCATCGCCGCGACTCCTTTTCTACCCACGAGCCATTCCTGTAGGTTCCACCTCATCTCTACCCTCAAAATCATCCCCGTATTTCCTTTTCTATCCCCGAGCCAACTCCCCTTTCCGCAGTTAGAAGGTATGGTTGCACCTACATTCACCTGTTATTCCCCCAGCCCCGCTAATTCTTCCCCCGCATTCTTCCCCCTCATTCTTCCCCCTCATTCTTCCCCCCCATTCCTCCCCCTTTTTCTCCCCCCTCATTCTCCCCCCTCATTCTTCCCCCTCATTCTTCCCCCTCATTCTTCCCCCTCATTCTTCCCCCCATTCCTCCCCCTTTTTCTCCCCCCTCATTCTCCCCCTCATTCTTCCCCCTCATTCTTCCCCCTCATTCTTCCCCCTCATTCTCCCCCCTCATTCTCCCCCCTCATTCTTCCCCCTCATTCTTCCCCTCATTCTCCCCCCTCATCCTACCACTGTCTGAAGCCTTAGCCCTTTCTGCCTTCCCCCGTATGCCTCCCCCTCGTTCCCCTCCGTCTTCCTCCCTTCAACCCCTGACTGAAGGTATGGCTCGTCAATCAACTCTCTCCTCCTCATCCCCTTTTCCCCCTTCCCTTCCCCTCCACCTCCCCATCTTTCCCCTCGAACCTCTTAGAATCAGATCACATGATTTTAGTCAGGCTCCCTCCCTCCACCCCACTCCTTCCCTCCCTCCCCCCCCCTTCCCTCCATCCCCCCCCCTCCCTGTGTTAAACTGGACCAGGCATGTTGGACAGTCCGACTCAACCCCTCGTCCCTTCTGTCCCTTCTCCATTTTCACGCCCCCCCTTCTCCCCCTATCACCAGGTAATAGTGATCACCTTTAAGCGCCCTCCGCCCCTCTCCCTTGTATTGGCTCGCCCAGGAATTTTGGACACAGCCCAACTCAATCCCACTTCCCTTCCCTTCCCTTTGTCCCCTTCCCCCTATTCCCGCCCCCCCTTCTCCCCTTATCACTAGGTGATAGTAGTCACCTTCAAGCGCCCTCCGCCCCTCCCCTCTTCGTTTGCCCGGCCAGGCATTCTTGTCAAAAATGCTCCAATCACTCCCGCTTATTGCCACCCCCGCCCAATCTCAACGAATCTTAGTCCCCCTTCTCCCCCCTCACGAACCCCCACTGGGCCCGGAGGGGAGTCGAGCCCTTCAAGTGCCCTCCGCCTCTCCCCCCTGTGCTGGCACGCCCAGGCATTTTTCTCGCAGCCCAACTGAATCTCAGCTCTGGCTTCCCCCGCTCTCCCCGTCTCTCTTCCCCTCACCACAACCCCTTCATCGGGTGAGAGTCGGGCCCTTTGAGTGCCCTCCGGCCCCTTTCCCCAGTGTGGTCCCAGCCAGGCAAATTGCTCCTTGCTCCCCCACTCTCCCCATCTCTCTTCCCCTCACCACCACCCCTTGCAATTCCTTCATCAGGTGAGTGTCAAGCCCTTCAGGTGCCCTCCGGCCCTCCCCAGTGTGAAATCAACTGGGCGCTCCTCACGAACTGACTCAATCCTGCTTCCCCCTTCCCCCTTTGTGTTCCCCTCCCCCTCCCCCCTTCGTGTTCCCCTCCCCCTCCCCCCTTCGTGTTCCCCTCCCCCTCCCCCCTTCGTGTTCCCCTCCCCCTCCCCCCTTCGTGTTCCCCTCCCCCTCCCCCTTCGTGTTCCCCTCCCCCTCCCCCCTTCGTGTTCCCCTCCCCCTCCCCCCTTCGTGTTCCCCTCCCCCTCCCCCCTTCGTGTTCCCCTCCCCCTCCCCCCTTCGTGTTCCCCTCCCCCTCTCCCCTTCGTGTTCCCCTCCCCCTCCCCCCTTCGTGTTCCCCTCCCCCTCCCCCTTCGTGTTCCCCTCCCCCTCCCCCTTCGTGTTCCCCTCCCCCTCCCCCCTTCGTGTCCCCCTCCCCCTTTTCCCTTCTCATCGCCAGGTGAGAATCGACCCCTTCAAGTGCCCCATGCCCCTCCCCTCTGTGTGGGCCCGGCCAGGCATTTTCCTCACAGCCCGGATCACTCCCGCGCTGCCAGCTGTCAACGTGTCAGTGGTCGCTGACTCAGCCAGTGATGCTAGGGGGTGGGAGGCAGGGGAGGTGGTGGGATGGAGGCTGACTGTGGGGGGGAGGGGAGGAGGGGAGGAGAGGAGGGGGGTGGAGGGGAAAGAAGGAGAGGAGGAGAGAGTGGAAGAGGAGGGGCTGGATAAGGAGAGTAATGGAGAGGGGGTTGTTCTGGGTCCTCTGTACGACGATGCGAGATACCACCTGGAGTTACATAAGGTACAGTTTGCGGCGTTACACTTTGATCACAGTTATGTATATTTGGAGTCGTAGGAAGAAAAGCAGGTTCCTTGCAGCAAGTTGAACTTGTACAGCTGTGGGCGCTTCGTCCATTTTCTATGTGGTTCTCTCTTTTCTATTCTGTTTTTTTCCTTTTGTTTCTTGTGTAAGCACCATCCTGTGTGACTGTTGGCATTGTGACAGTACAAAAGCGTACATATTCGTTGTGTCAATTCGTCCATTTTCTATGTCGTTTCTTCTTCATTTTGTTTTTTCCCTTTTCTGTGACGTGTGACAAATACAGGAAGGGTATATTTTCTTGTCTACAGGAGCCAATTCCTTCACAGCAGAAAGGGTTGAAGCCACGCAAGTGAGTGTAATTCGTAACATGTTTCGTCTCTATTTGATGTGATCTTACAGCATCCTTCCTCCTGCAGCACTTGGTAAGGGTGTGTTCTTACACCTCTTATGAGCGGGGACTGATAAGAGGTCGTAGAAACACGCTCTAAACCTGCATGGAGGGTATTCCTATGACCCCTTCCCAGAAAGGAATGGACTCTGAGTGCGGCCCATGGTGTCTTCACCCCACGATTCGTAACTGAATATTGTTACCCTATCTTCTGTCTGACGTCTCTCTATCTCCATGGCAGAAGACGTGCAAGCATGGCAGCAGCAGCAGTGGTGCCGGTTTCTGAGTCGTCTCGAAAATTGCCACCCCGTTTTTGTCCCCTTACCTACTGTCCCTCATCTCTCTGTCACTGTGGCAGAAGACATGCCAGCCTGGTAGCAGCAGCAGCGGGACTGGGGAGCAGCGGGACCAACTTTTGAGTCACTCAAACAGTCAACTCTCTGCCCCATATCTGTCCCCTTACCATCTGTTCCATCATTGCCCGACATTTCTCTTTCTCTCTCTGGCAGAAGACGTGCCAGCCTGGCAGCAGCAGCAGCAGCGGCAGGACTGGGGAGCAGCACGAATGCAAGTGGGAGTCTTGACTTGAGGTCACCAGCTGTAGCCATTTCACCTGGCTTTTAGGCATTGCTGCTCACTGCTCACACCTAAAAAGGCCGGTTTTCAGCTCTCGGGCTCTCAGCTCCCAGCTCAAGATAACATCCTTACGATACGACTCACTACTGGCCAGGCGCATTGTGGCATCTTCAGCTCATGGGTTTAGGAGGTGCACGCTTGCTCCATCCATGTAAAGAGAATCGGGTCAGGCTGGTTAAAGAAGGCTCTTCTCCTGTGGGAGCAGTGGGAGCTAGTGTTGCATCGAAGTTCAAGGGGTATGGGATGGGATGGGATCGGATGGTGCAGCATCAGAGTGACGTACGCACCGTGCTGTACCACATCCAACTCGCATAAATTTGCACAGTGCAATATCGTGCACAAGCGCTGAGAAGAGGTGTAGGATTGCGCCCTTTTATGCTACAACCCTGTAAATTCTAAGTGTGTGTTCCTACGAGCTTCATATCAGGCTGGCCCTTATCAGACTCACAACATTCGCCTGCGTGACGAGATTTCCAAGCGTTTAAAATTTATACATCACATTGAACCACTTTGTGTCAAGCTCGCACTGCTCACAGTGACGCGCGATTAAAAATCCGGCCACGATTGTAGTGAGATGTTAGAGTAGGGGGAAAAGGTGTGACTAGGAGGGGAGGGGAGATACTGTCAACTTATACATATTATCTATGTAGAAGTTATAGGCTAGACTGAGGTATGCTTCTAGTGAGTACAACCAACTAGTATTTGTTCTAGGTTTCCACCTCTAGTAAATCATTCGTTTCTACGTTAACATGGTATCACGCTTAGGTTAGGATCCCCCCGCCTACCGCTTCCGCCCGTCGCGCCTCCTAGGCCCCGTCGCGCCCCCTAGGCCCCGTCGCGCCCCCCCTGGGCCCCGTCGCGCTCGTTAGGCCCCGTCGCGCCCCCCCTGGGCCCCGTCGTGCCCGCTGGGCCCCGTCGCGCCTCCTAGGCCCCGTCGCGCTCCCCCTGGGCCCCGTCGCGCCCACCGGGTCCCGTCGCGACCCCTAGGCCCTAACGCGCCCCCGCTGGGCCCCGTTGCGCCTCCTAGGCCCCGTCGCGCCCCCCATGGGCCCCGTCGAGCCCGCTGAGCCCCGTCGTGCCTCCTAGGCATCGTCGCGCCTCCTAAGCCCCATCGCGTCCCCCCCCTCTGGGCCCCGTCGCGCCCGTTCGGCCCCGTCGCGCCCCTCCTAGGCCCCGCCGCGCCCGCTGGGCCCCTTCGCGCTTCCTAGGCCCCGTCGCGCCTGCTAGGCCCCGTCGCGCCCCCCCGGGGCCCCGTCGCGCCCGTTAGGCCCCGTCGCGGCCCCCCTGGGCCCCGTCGTGCCCGCTGGTCCCCGTCGCGCCTCCTCGGCCCCGTCGCGCCCCCCCTGGGCCCCGTCGTGCCCGCTGGGCCCCGTCGCGCCCCTTAGGCCCCGTCGCGCCCGCTGGCCCCTGTCGCGCCTGCTGTTAGCGCTCGCCCGCCTGGCCTCCTCCTAGTGCCGCTCGGCCTCCTCCTAGTGCCGCCCGGCCTCCTCCTAGTGCCGCCCGGCCTCCTCCTAGTGCCGCCCGGCCCCTTCCTAGCGCCGCCCGGCCTCTCCTCAGCGCTGCCCGGCCCCTCCTCGTGCCCGACCGGCCCCAGCAGCACCAGCCTGGCCCCTCCCAGCACCAGCCCGGCCCTAGAGCACCTGCCCGCCTCCCCTGCTCGGCCTGCCGTGTCCTCTCGGGCCCTGTGTCTTCTGCTTGCCTGCGCTGGGACGCCTAGCTGCTGCCCTACTGGAGAGTGCTGCCGCCGTGTCCCCGCGCCGCTGTGCTCCTGTGCCGCTGAGGAGCTGTGCTGCTGTGCCGCTGTGTCGCTGAGGAGCTGTGCCGCTGACCCTGCACGATGGCTGACTTTGTGCTCCGCCTGGACGCTGAGGGCCACGCGGTTGACTTCGCCGCCTGGCTCTCCGATCTTCGCCGCCAGCTTACAGGTCAGCGCCAGGATGGCCACTCTCTGGTTGTCCATGCTGATGGCTTGCTCCCCCGTCCCCCTGCACCTACTCCCCTCCCTGCTGACCCCTCCTCTGATGACCGTGAGGCTTTCTCTACTGCTGCGCTAGCCTGTGCGGTCTGGGACTCACGCGATGCAGTAGCTCAGGTTGCTATTAGTCACGCCCTCCCTGTGTCTGAGCGCTCGCATTTTGCTACTGTTGAAACGGCCAAAGCTTATTTAGACGCCGTTATTGCTCGCTATTCCACCCCTGCCTCCGCTTCTGCTGGCCGCTTGCTCTTTCCGATGCTGTTCCCAGACCTGGCTGCCTTCCCTACTGTCGCAGATTTTGCCACTCATTTGCGTGCCCTAGAGACTCGCTATCGCACTGCCAGCACTGCTGCCCAGCTCACTGCGCTCCCCCCTCCTTTCTGCATGACGCTCTATTTTATCGCTATGCGCCTGCCAGACCGCCTCGCTAGTGCTCGCGACCACTTTCTTAGCCAGCACCCGGGTGACCTCACCCTGACCGCCTTTGTCGACACCCTCACTGAGATCGAGACTCGCCAGCGCACTATCGCTCAGTCGAGCGGTGCGCCGGCAGTCTCTATCTTTCACGGTTGTGCCCCATCCCCGTGCACGTTCACTGACGTTTCGGCTGCGGTCGCCACGGCGACCCCTCTTACCGAGACGGCTGCTGCTGTCCACCCGCAGCAGCGCTCGCGTCGCGGTGGCCGTGGCCGCCAGGGAGGTAGGGGTGGTGACGCAGGTGGTAGTGGTCGTGGTGGTGGTGACGGTAGTCCGCCTGAGGGGACTACCACCGGTGGGCAGGAGCAGCAGTCCCAGCAGCAGCAGGACCAGCCCCAGCCGCAGCCGCCGTCCCAGCAGCACCCGCCGCAGCCGTGGGCTCGTCTCCCGCCTGGTTGGCCCGGCACCTCCGGAGGCGGTGGCCGTGGTGGCGGCCCGCGCAGCTTGGCGTCTACCAGCGGCTCCAGTGCTGTGACCTGCCAGTACCAGCTTCAGACCGGGCCTCTCCGCGGCACTCTGTGCCGCCGCCCGCACCCGACCGCCCACTGTTTCCGCCGCCTCGACGATCTTTTTCGTCGTCGCTTTGGCCCGGCCCCGGACCTCCCTGACTGGCACAGCCTGCTCCGCCAGGGCGTGCCGATCTTTGAGTTAGACATGGATCAGATAGGTGCTGCTTTGCATGCTTTGTATGCTGACGCTTCTAGTGTTGATGGATCTTACTACCATGTGTACTCTAGTTTAGGTGTTTCACCCTTGTGTAGCTTAGCTTCCCCTGCTGCGACAGGCGTAGGACTGCCTAGGTTGCCTAGTCTAGTCGCTGCACCGGCTCCGTCCGCGGCCTCCGCCACTGCGTCGCTGTCCTTCACTCTTGACTCTGGTGCTTCTGCCTGCTTCTTCCGCGACCGTTCCACGCTCACGCCGCTTGCTGCACCTGCTGTTGTCTCTCTCGCTGACCCCTCTGCGGGTCCGGTCGTCGCGCGCAGTTCTACGTCCCTTCCCTGTCCGGCAGTTCCCTCGGGCTCCCTTACTGGCCTCCACGTTCCCTCGTTCTCCAGGAACCTGGTTGGTGTCGGCTGTCTCCAGGACCTCGGCGTCACCACCACGTTCCCCGGGCACGAGCGGTTCGCTGTCTGTTCTGAGGCTGTCTCCGGTTCCCCCCTTGCGACGTTCCCCCGGGACCCGGTGTCCGGTCTGTTTACCCTACACACCGCTTCCCCCCCGGTTGGTGCGTCCTCCCAGGTCGCTGCAGCTTGCTCGTGTCGGTCCCTCACTCACCCCTCCCTTCTCTGGCACCACCGCTTAGGTCACCCTGCTCTCCCGCGTCTGCGTCACATGTCCCAGCACGGTCTTGTCTTAGGTCTCCCCGCGTCGCTCCCTGCCCTTCCTCCCTCGACTGCGCCACCGTGCACGCCTTGCGTCGAGGGTCGGCTCCGCCGTGCTCCTCACTCCTCCTCGCTGCGTCCTGCTACTGCCCCCCTTCAGACCCTGCACTTGGACGTTTGGGGCCCTGCCCCCGTCCCCGGACCGCGCGGTGAGCGCTACTTCCTTGTGCTCGTTGACGACTACACGCGCTACACCACGGTGTTTCCCCTGGAGCGGAAGGCCGACGTGCCCGACGTTCTTCTCCCGTGGGTTGTAGCTGCGCGTCTCCACCGCGGTCTCCCCGTGTTGTGTCTCCACTCCGACCGTGGCGGCGAGTTCGCCTCTGGTCGGCTTGGACAGTTCTGTCGTGCGGAGGGCATCACCCAGTCGTACACGTTGCCGGACTCGCCACAGCAGAATGGGGTTGCTGAGCGCCGCATCGGCTTGGTCATGGAGGTCGCCCGTACCTCCATGATCCATGCCGATGCCCCCCATTTTCTGTGGCCGTTCGCTGTTCGCTACGCGGCTCACCAGCTTAACCTGTGGCCACGCTCCCAGCGGCCGCAGGTTTCGCCGACCCTCCTTTGGACCGGGTCCCCCGGTGACGCGTCTGCGTTCCACGTTTGGGGCTGCCTTGCTCACGTTCGTGCCTCTGGCACGGACAAGCTCACTGCCCGCACTGTCCCCTGTGTCTTCCTCGGTTTCCCCCTGGACTCGTCTGACTGGCTTTTCTACCACCCGCCGTCTCACCGCTTCCTCCACTCTCGTGACGTCACCTTTGACGAGTCCGTCTCCTTCTACCGCCGCTTCCCTCACCGAGGTCTCCCAGTTGCCCCCCCCCTTTTCCTTGCTCCCTCTCCCCCGGTAGCCCCTGCCCCTCTCCCGCCTCGTCCTGCCCCGTCTGGTGTCTCCCACGTCACTCCCCTCCCGTCGGTTGTCCCCGTTGAGGAGTCTGCTGACTCTGGTGGTACCCCCGGTCCGTCCTTGCCGCGTCCCCCTTCCCCAGTGCCTCCGCCCCCACTGTCGCAGTCGCCGACCCCGCTGCCGCCGCCGTCGCCGTCGCCGCCGCAGCCGTCGCCGCTGTCGCCGCCACTGCCGCCGCTGCTCTCGGCCCCTGGGGGTGCTGGTGTGGAGGAGGGTGTTCGTCCTGCGGCTTCTGGGGGTGCCGCTGGTGTTGGAGGGGGTTCTCGCTCTTGGGGTGTTGGTTCTGGGGGTGCTGCTGTTGAGTGTTCTGCCGACGGTCGTTCTGCCTCTGCTGGTCCGAGAGTTCCGGCCCAGCCGTCGTCGCCGCCACAGCAGCCGTCGCCGCCGGTTTCCGCTCTCCGCCTGCTCGGCCTTCCCTCCCCGGACCGCGCGCCGGTGTCTCCCCCACCGCCTCCTGACCTCCCTGTCTACGGTCCTGTGTTCCCGCCGCCAGACTCGTCTCCGGCCCGTCTTCCTCCTCGTTCCCCTCCTGTGTCTCCTCCGCTGTCCCCTGACCCTACCCCTCCGTCTCACGTTTGGGCTCGCCGTCCCTCCCGTGCTCGTCCCGTCTCTCCTGTCCTGCCCACCCACCCTATGTTGCTCCGTTCCCACTCGTCTCGTCCTCCCCTCCTCCCGTCCCCTCCTCCCTCGTCCCTTGCTGTTG